TCAGATAGTATGCCCATGCTTGGAAATAAGCCTAACCATATCTCTTTAATGCTGTAAATTGTTATTTCTTTATCCTGATAATTTTTTTCATATCCTTCAATAAGTCAGCTGGGCTTATTCTACTTCTGAAATGACATTAAATGATTTTGCAATTCTTTGTTTAAATCTATATGAATTACAATAAGAATGACTTCACCATCTGAATTTTGCAGCAGAATATTGTGATAATTCTCTCACAAAAAACCATTTGAAGGTCTCGTTATTACTGTACGTCACCAGTAATTAGCTCAATATGCGACATTATAACCAAGATAATATTACCTCCTTAAATATTAAACTGATTAGTCTGTCCCTGAAATACTGTATACTATAAAGCTTTATCCTGAGGTCAACAAGACTCTGAGAACCTTTCCAGTTATCAGAGCTCTCAATGTGTAAATTAGAACTAATTAATAAAGGAAAGGTTGTTATCATAGATTTGATAACATTGGATCGAGGAACGTGATGAGCTTACTGGAGTGAAAAGTTCCATGTGACAAAGTTTGAATTCACAGAACTTTATGATATATTAATTTTATACTGAATGATCCAGAGACGAGAATAAATATTGAAATGATTGATATATTGGTACCATATACATACATGGTAAACTAAAAAGTACATGATGATCATAGTGTTCACTTCACTGTCAACCATTATTAGGGGGTCCGACATGTCTGGTATGATGGGCGTGTAATTTAGCTTGATACACAAACAGCCATGGATGGGACCCAATGGTGAGTTTAGAAACCTAGTAAGTGCAGAAAAGTAAATCGGTGAGTACAGAAACCGGGATATCTCTTAAGAAAGAAAACAGCATCCTACATCTGAATCTGCACTTGAATTGCCACATCATAGCTGAAATCATAATTATGTACATCATACCAAATCTGGCTATGTACACACCTACACATACTGAAGGTCATGTACACCAAAATCAGTTGTTTTATTTCAAAATATATAGTGTATGTATGATTTACTAAAACCATGAGCATGAGTAATTGATGGTGGGAGCACACTTATATAATTAGCATTCTGAAATACAAATATCTACAATTTTAATATCTGCATGCTTACATGAAAATTAAAATAATTTATATCAACCCCATAAAACAATTAAACATTTCTGTCTTTGTGTTGATAAAGTCATTATAAAACTAACCAAACCCCAGCCTTGGAAGTTTTCCTTTAGTAATTGGTAATGACTACATAATATGGCTGACAACACCCAGGTGCCTTGTATAACTTCCAATCACGTTAATTATTGATAAATCAGGGTGTTTTCTCACACCATCTAAACTCTCCATATTTCTGGCATAACTCCACATAACTGGTTTTCTGCAAGATTTTTCACAGATGTTTCTTCTTGATCAACATCTGACTCAAGCAAATATAATGTTAAATTAAATAAACTGTTCTATTTAATTATTGAGAGACGAAAGTAAATATCTTCTTCCTCCGAACCCATCAGGTTCAAATATTGGCCTACTGAGGTACAGTATATACATTTACACTTTAAAATCATTAGCATTAGGTAATGGCATGACTTTAGGTTCCAATATCTTGATTATATTGCCTCACCATTAGACTGAATAAAATTTGAAAATTCAAAATCAGATTTAAAATTCAAACAATGGCTTACCATGCTTTGTTAAATGATTCAGGTTCAAACCATGAACTCTAGAAACTCTCCAGAAACCAATGTATATAAATCGTCTTCACTTCAGTTTTCTCTCACTAACATTGTTTAGAAATCTATGTCTGATAACGAGTGTCCATCTGGACCATTAAACAAAGTGGTTAGATAATTCAAACACCTAAGCAGAGACTTAGCAAGAACTGAAGCATCTATCAGAAGTAAAAAATAATTATGTGATCTGGACTCCTGTATAAACACACACCTGACTTTTATGGTTTTTCAAACCCCCATGAATCTCAATCATTGTACATACTTTAACGTTGATGATTCCATGTGGGGAACATATGTAAGAAACAGTTGGTTAAGAAAGGTAGCTGCCAAACCTTGTGAAGTCGCTTTCAATCACCTATTTATTGCTGTAAAATGTAGAAACTTTTAACTGTTTGAAAACACACCAGCCCCAACCCCACCCCCCCTCTCCCATCCCTTCCCCAACCCCAACCCCCACGTAACTTTAAGTTCATATATATAGAAAGCATATACCTGCCAACTTTTTGAGATTTGCATTAAACATCAGTATAAAGTGCATCAATATTGCCTCCAGATATTCTTTTACCTTACAAAGAAGGCACTCTTTATTTTTTACTATTTGTGGTGAGCTAGGACTTTGAAGATGCATGATTTATGTGTAAAATCTGGAGGGCTAAAATTGTTATCTCTTAATTATAAAGGGGCAGTTAGTGATGCGTATTTTTGATAAAACTAAAAGATAAATCCCCTTATTTCATATTTCTATGTAACTCTGTTATATGAACTGTTACAACATCATTAAAATGTAATCAGTCAGTGCTATGTCATGGCTGCTATTTTTTTTATACAGTATCGTACATGTAGACAAGTGCATAAAGTTCGGGAATATTTTACACCTTCAAAATCACAGAAATTCAATATATTTACCATATCAATATTTGTATGTGATAAAAATTGTATTTGTAAAAAAATCGGGAAAATTAAGAGGGAATGTCTGATTTAACCAACTCACATACAGGGCTAAATTTTTACCAAAATTTTTGAACAGAAAAAAAAATTAATAATGTATAAAAAAAAAGTGGGGGGTAAAAGTTAAGATGTAATGTTACTATTCACATGCCAAAAATGTAGGATTAAGGAAGCACCACATACAGCAGCCAAATGGCATTAATCAAACATAGGAGCTATATATGTCCTACTACTGAATTCAATGTCCTGTTAAAAGCCTGCAGTAACTTATATCCCAATGCCTGTCTCAAAACGCAGAGATGACTCCGAATCAATAGGGAAACATATCACTACCAGCCAAATCCGGGGATTTTATATCTAAACTTGGTAATACCAATCTCATCCAAGTTCCCTGATAGAACTGAAATAAAAAACCTTATATTAGTTCCAGGAGTTTTAGCCACGAATCTGTACGAATGATTAGACAATCCAAATTGATTTATTGTATCGCCTGAAATTGACCGTTAGGGGCATGACTTAGCATAATTCAGGGTAAGGAGATTGAAATAGTTTGGAGCCTGGAATGGTGCTGTAATAGCCATGTTTTGTCTGTAAATAGTTACAACATCAGGTCAACGAGTCCACAGCAGTAAACTAGTATTTGTCTCCTACAGAAGGGCAATACAAATACACCGGCCTTGTTTACTTTATCACTATAGTTAACAAAATGTGACAGTCCTTTTTTTTCTTTTCTCTTTAAACAAATGAGCATTTCAGCTTCTCTCTTCTTCAAGTCAATAATATGGCATCATTGCATTACATAATACTTCATCAACATCATTTCTTCCCCGACATGTTTACACTTGAGCTTGAATCGTAAAATGCTACACAACCAGGAATTCCATACTTTGGTTTTTTTTAACAGTAAAGAATAATCTTCAAATAACACTTAAATATATTTTTTCTTTCAACTATACCAACAAAAAAGCCATTTTCAATCCTTTTCTATTACATAATCATATATAATACCTATGTCTTTCAAAAAGTTATCTCCCTTTCTGATTTTTCCTATTGATACACAAGAATTTGAAATATATTTGCATCACTGTTATCAAAAAAACTTAATCTTGTCTTAAAATCTAAATAAACTTACTCATAAAGAACACATCATACAGCAATTATAAAATATCTGTAATGTCCAGTCACCTGCCATCAAATACAAAGGGCCATAACTCTGGTAGGACAACAAATACTGATCCCAGCTTAGTATGCAATACTAATCAGTAAATAATTACATAAGGTTATGTTGTTAATTGGCACTACCCCAGTTAATTTAGTGAAGCAGAGCTGTCATTATACTAAAGCTAGGGTTCAGAATGGGATTTCAATACTAGATATCTAATTGTCATAATAAACAGTATAAAATATATCTCCATAAGGTAAGGCATATCACATGGAATACAGCTTAGATAAAGGTGGTGCATACCAACGACCTATACTACGATAAAGGATTACCGTACAGCAAAGCTATACTGCACAACCACGATAACACCACAATCCACTTAACTGTAATTCTAGTCATTTAAGTTTGAGGAAATTAAAACTTGAATGTTTATCATGTATGTACATCTACAGTCTTGAGTACTGTGACAATATATCTGGATAGACCTAGTATTTTATCTGGCGAGTCCAGAACACCTTTCCCAAAATGTTAAACAGAATTATTACTAAGAGATATTGGACACCGAACAGGTGGTCGGGTGGTGCAGTGGTAATGCACTCGCCTTTCACCTAGCCGTTCAGGGTTTGACTCCTGGAACGGACGTGAGAAGGTAAGGGTCACCTGCCCGACCATGTGGGTCCCCCCCCCCTCAAGTACTCCGCTTTCCTCTCACAATAAGACCCCTCACACACTTACATCCAGGCCAACAAGAGTGATTAGTATAAGTTGAAATAACTTGTTTCCCCAATGTTGTAAAATAAATAAAGTTTATAGAAGATGTTGGACATGGGTCACACAGGAAAATCATGAGTCCAGGACTCAAACATTCGAGTACAAAAAATCAATGTTTACCTAGTCTGTACAACTTACTAGAGAGCTCAGAAATATTTTTATACAGTCATGTTGTTTTCTACTATTTGGTTTGTTTCATTTTATTTGTTGAAGTGAGTGCAGACAGATCAGTCAGAGTAGGAACAGTGTTAGTCACACACATTATATTGGTCAGTATCGTGATCACACCCATTCCAATACAGTCTTATCTATCTTTAACTGCCCGGATCTGTGAACAGACGTGAGAAGCTAATGATATCTTAATTATTGAATAACTTGACGGGAACTTACCGTGCCTTGAGAAGTTCACATGGGACGCCTTCTTCGCTAAGTTACGTTTGTTTTCTACGGAGCATATCCCATCTGTAACACCAAAGAATAAAATCCATGCATTAGTTATGAAACATCAGAACCACGAGGAAAAAAACTGAAAAAAATCTTTAACAGGGAGCAAACTGAAGGGTATACCTTTGTGACTGGCAGACTCCAGAAATAACATGGCCACATTTTACATGTAAAACGAGTATCACAGCGCTTTTGGAAAAATGGATTACCTATATATCAATGTATATGACAACACTTAATAAGGAGTTACCCCAGTGTTGTACACACGTCCATGATGTCACTCATAGTCTTATAGTCATTACTTGAAAGCAAACACCTAAATTTCCACAGTCAAGTATTCAAACAAAACACTGGATATACTGCTAATTAAAACCTACTAGCGAACACAGGTAACGCAAATGATAAACAACATCCATATTCAATAATCCATGTATTAGCCCATGCTCAGTAATAAGCCCATCTATCGACACCTATTGCTGGTGAAAATATCAATACAAATGATTTCATGTAAGTATTTGTCTCCAGGGCTTAATATAGAAATATTAATGTGTGTAAATTAACTCTAACAATTTGACTGGCAGTTGGGTGTGTATTATACACAAAACATACTAGTATATCAGTCAATGTCAGATTCTGATTCACCACATACCCAGTACAATTTATTTGGCAATCCATGAGGGTCGACAAATGACTCAAAGTTAGAGGTGGGCTTAATGTTCAACAACGAAATAAGAACGGTTCATCTGGTATAATTTATTTTTTGATTAACAGCAAGTATAAGAAATGGGTTAATACAGATGTATAAGATAAATATTGTACAATATTGTACGTACAGAATGTATTCTCCTGTATGTATAATAAATATTAAATTGTATATATGTGTACATTAAATGGCAAACGACCAAGATAAACCTAATTACATCAACACTAAATATAAATTAATTACAAGTTATACAAATAGATATCAGACAGATATAACATTGACCCTGTAACTATACAACAGTGCACAAACCATATACTACTCAATCAACATAAACAACGACCGTTATTTTCTTCACCTAAAAAATTCACCATATATTGTTTGTCTCAACTGAAATTTCTCCAAAATGCAGAGAACAAGTGTAAACTGGTAACTTAGAAGGGTATTTATCAGCTGTATAAAAAAGTAGAAAATACACCACCAGTTCCAAACTTCTAATATAAACAGCTGTAAAAAATATAATTCTTTAATACAAGACAGAAACAGACGATACCAATTCCAGTCCATGATAGATCAATTCTTCAATTATTAATTACGAAACATGGAATAGATTTCCATCAAAGCTTTCCATCTTCCATCAGTTCTTGTTTTGCAATTGTGAGTCTATTCTTTAAAAATATTGTGTCTACCAAGACGTGAATTTCCATTTATAAACCTGTGTTCCTATAGAAATACATCAAGCCTCATATCTTACCTTGGGACGAAGAAGTGCTTTCCAATATAGGTCTCATGTCAGATTTGAGTTTGGCCCTCTTAACAAAGAGACCCATCAAAAAAGATCCACTGTACTTTCACAAGCTATACACATATAGACTTTTGAGCAATACAAAAGCTAAACAATTTCCTTAAGAAATATAAAATGCACCATTACATATAAAAACATGTATTCCATTTTTCTTCGTATTGTGTGGCTATTAAAATGTATTGTTGACAATAGAAGAAAGTTGTCTCGTCACTCCAACATAAATTTATATTAACAGTACACAGTACATAGAATTTCCAGACTTCTGATGCATACACTGTTAGACAGGGATATGCATTACTCCATTCACATCGTCGTGAAAGCAGGTAATGAGAATAACTCAAGTATATTATAAATTGCAATCTAATCCAAACTAATATTCCATGGAGAGCACAACAGCCTTTTGGAGAGGCGTCGACTTAATGTGGTCATTTCTCCACCATCATAGTTGTGTACATATACACATAAAGTAAGTTATTGTTTTTCTGTCGGTACGGAAAGGGTTTAACTTCCTGTGCAAAAGAATATCCTTCCGTTTTACAACAGAGGTCAAGCTTCAAAAGTCCAGGTTACACATGTTCCAAACAGAAAAATGATGACTTTAAACAGGTTTATGCATTGTTTTTACCAAAAAGACCTAACACCCACAAACTTTACTTCCTCAACCTTTTTTTTTGTTACATCTTGCTTCAGAAAACAAGAGAAAATGCAGATATCTAGAATTAATCTTACCAAAAACTATAACAAATATTTCACCCTAAAAAAAAAATTAATTACAGTTACATATTTTAATTAGTTGAGAAATATGAGGACAAGAAACAGTCCCAAATATCATTAACTAATTAAATAAAACTTAAAAAAAACTACAAGAAACCTGGAACTATTTAATTATCAGGATAATCCGTGTCCCAATCTCCGTAATTTGAAAATCCAAGTACTATATATATCCCAATGTTTTACAAGAAACTTCTCCTTCCAGTATACAGACATATACCTAGTCACTGAAACGTTATTATTACATGTGGTTCTTGATCAGCTGATCAGTGGTCTGATCACTCGTATGGTACACCTAGGTTAAGGGGATTTAAATGGTATTGTCCAAATAAAAATTAGGCTAATACACACATTTCTCACAACTTAACACCACAAAGCATTGTCAGCATTACATTGTTTTCATTCAAACCTCAGAAAACGGAATAACTGTGCTAAACTCTTACCTGAAACACTATCTTGGTATGTTCTCGTGTAACTATGGATCTTCCATAAGCTATGGATCTTCATAAGCAGTTATTAGTCTAAGTCAAGCTTAAATTTTTTTTAAATACTGGACCTTTTTTATTAATATAATACTTACAAGCAATAATATTTGTTCAAATATTTAAATAGCCAGCTTAAACTCCTCAAACTTGAACATGTAATCTAATACACTTGAACAATGCACATGTTGTAACACCTTTCTAATGATCTTCAATGACATCTGAACGGGGTCATCTTCACTTCAAACCCTTACCTAGTTCAGCTAGCAAGTGATTACACAGGCAGTTAGTATAGGGTCAAGGGTCATTAGCTCCTCTAAAATGAAACTGATCCCTCCATGTTTTTAATTTTCTTTCCATTTTACACAGAACTGACCCTTAGCTCCTATATCAGTAAAAATTTGCTGAAAATGACCAGGTAATCATTTTCCTAGTATTTTTCCTGGATATAGAAATACAGCAGGAATTTTTCTCAGAAATATGATTTAATTTGAAATTTTTAATAATCAATAAACATATCTTTTTATAGTTGAATTCTAAAGAGCAGAACCACGAGAATAATGAAGGACATTATATTCACGGTAAGAATTATATAAGCACTCTGAACACAACCAAGAACATCATACTGATGATTTTGTCATTATATAGTCGAGGAAGAAACTTGGTATTCCGACAAACTCATAATCCAGACAATTTTGACCGGTAATAAAGGTCGAAGTTCAGATTATTGAAGGTAAACTTATTTAGACTAATATGTTATATAAATCACTTGAATCTTGAGATCTTTTTTTTCTCAGCTTTTTTATTACAATAATTAGTTCTACGTTATTAAATGTTTTAGTGCACTCTTATTTCAGCAAGATGGCAGTTCAGGCTTCATTCCCCAATTAGGAAAGAAAAGGACATAATCTAAATTGTATTTTTTTCTCCTAGCTTTTATCAAATGGGAAACAATAGTGAATTGTATAAATAGTTTATAAAGCTCATTTTAAATATTTAAAATCATTTTGTACCCCAATGGAACACAATACTATCAACAAGTTCTGAAATCTCAAAAACAAAAATATGTTTACGTCAACTGACTTTGGTATACTATACTCAAATCTAGATTATATTAATTAATGACGACAAGCAGTAAGTAATTAAATCAAAGGCATACAATGGCCATACTACAATACATCCAGGGTACCAACCTATATACATGTAGCTATAGATTACAACACTAGAAGTATACCTCCATTGTATTGATGAGTGAGTTATTTTAAGATATTAATACCTGTGTTACCAAAACATAAATACACAAAACCTAAACCATCATTTCTATACTTCTATACTCATCCTTGACAACAAATAATACAGAAATAATGTTGCCTTTGTTTCCGTTTCTTAATCCTCTTTATAAGTATGTACTACAATACACATATATATGGCTACACACTATATTATACGGGTGTTACAAACATGTAACAGACTGACCTATATATATATATCCTTGATTCAAGGGCTTTACGTCATATCGAATGTCCTAGGGTCAATGAAACGATCCATCATTTCTTAAAGAATAATACAGTTTACATCTGTTTGATCCTTCAAACGAGCAGACCTGTGAACATTTAATAATTAGATCATTTAAATTTTTTGTCTCTCCTTTGAATTTTTTTAAAAACAATTTTGGCAAAGTATAATAAAGGAAATTGTAATTACAGGTAATGTTCGATCAACGTGTCAGAAAAGATGTAGTCATGGAAATTAAGGACTTAAAAGATTAATGGGCTTTAATGTAATTAAACAAAAAATCTGTGAATTTGTTGGCTCTGTTTAATTCCCTATAAAAAGGCTGAGGTAGGGTGTCCTTTTGGCAATGGTGGCTATTTCACTGCATGAACATCTTACAGGAGGCCCATCACAAGCTATCCTAAGCAATTTGACAAAAAGGACTACCAACTGCACAGAATAGTCTGTGACCTTATCTACCTGAGAAATACGAACTACCCTGATCCTAGGAGCCAAACTACAGATTGATTGAGCATGCAAACTTTAAAGACTTAAACAGTACAGAGATCCTGATTCTTTCCCAAAACATCAAGGGATACCTACCTTAGGGCACCTCAATGTCCTGCTACATATATATAAGGTATCTCATAGATACTTACCTTAAGACACCTAGCGTCCTGCTACATATATATAAGGTATCTCATAGATACTTACCTTAAGACACCTCAGCGTCCTGCTACATATATACATAGTATGTAAAATACTG